ATACAAAAGCAGAAGCAACACTATTAACATGCAAACTGTATATTTAGTCGATTGTACTATCTGTATGTCCTCTTTAAGAGTGCATGTGGATCAAGAAAGGCTAGGAGACAGTAGCCACCGTTCTGTCCTGAACTGACATATTTTTAAAAATGCAGACTATGCTGCATGGTTAATAAAATAGCTTTTGTGGATAAAAGCTACAGTGCTGGCTATAAAACACTTTTATTATTCTTAAGTGGCTAGTTGAGAGATACTTTCAATTTCTTTAGTTAATTTTACTGCTGAGTCTATTTTTTAAATTAAAAATAAAAAGCAATGGGGCAACAGCAAGGGATAAGAAAAAGTAGTCACTACAGTATAAATTATGAGGTTTGGTAAATAGTTACTTTTTAAAGGGAAAGAAAGTGTGAATGATCATGGCTCTTGTTTCCAGGAAGTGTGTACCAAAATAATTGATTTGGAATATTTACCCAGAAAGGTAGAATGCATAAAGAAAACTGGCATTATTTGATAATCTCCCACTGTGTCCCAAGCCATATGCAAGATATTTGTAGTGATCACATATTATTTATCTCCTGTCTTAGTTTGGGCTACCATAGCAAACTACCATAAACCTGGTGATTTAAAATGGGCATTGATTTCTCACATTTCTGGAGTCTGATAGGTCTCAGATCAAGATAGCGGCTGATAGGGTTCTTGATTAAGGTCTTCTGTTTCACTTGCCATGTGATAGGGAGAGATAGAGATCCAATCTTTTCCTTCTCATATTAATTAAGGCATTAATTCCACCAAGGGGGTCCTGTCTTATAAAGCTTCACCTCAAAAGGCAATAGGGGCAGTGAACACTGTTCCAACATAAGAGTTTTAGAGTGACATAGTCAGCTCAGGACATCACCATAAACTCAAAGATTGGATGTTGGTTGGCTATATATCTTTTTTTTCTTAAAGCAAATTTTTAATATTTATTTATTTGAGAGGTAGAGTTAGACATTGAGGGGTGAGACACTCACTGATTCACTCCCCAAATGGCCCCAACGCCTGGAGCTGGGCTGATCTGAAGCCAGGAACCAGGAGCTTTTTCCAGGTCTCTCACACAGGTGCAGGAGCTCAAATGCTTGGGGCATCTTCTACTGCTTCCCCAGGCCATAGCAGAGAGCTGCATACAAAGAGGAGCAGCTGGGGCTAGAACCAGATCCCCTATGGGATGCTGGCACCAGAGGCTGAAGATTAACCTACTGTGCCACAACCCTGGCTCTGGCTTTATTTCTTTTTGCTTTTCAGCTAATAGAACTCAGGGCCAGGCAAGTCCAGTGAGCTGTGCAGGGCAACTTCAGGTCTAGCAGGTGACTGCTGGTCTAGACATGCTGAGACTTTGTAGTCAGAAATAACTGTTGTAGTAAACCTAGGATCTCAGTGAATACACACGGAGAACATTTATTTTTCTTTTATATTCACAAAACAGTTCATAAGGGATCCTTACTTAATATATCTGGTATGACAAGACATTCCCAGAGATTTGAAGTCCTCCAATAGGACTCTGCATCAGGCCAGGAGAGTAGAAAAGAGCCTTGAGGACCAAAGCACACATTATTGTTGCACTGTCAGTTAATAGCCATTTTTGCCTATATTCTATTGGTCAGAATCAATTACAAGGTCACAACTCACTGCAAAGAAAGATTGGAAATGTGAGAGGACTTAAAATAGTACATGGGAAATGGAATTTAAAAACAAACTTATTTTGTGGGAAAATTTTGAAATCCATGTACGTAAGAAATCTTCCAAACATTAATTGAAACAAGAAAAAGAACTCATAGATTTAAAGTTTTGGTATCAAGATTATGTTTAATTTTAATTTCATTTTTTCCATGAATTTTTTGAAGTTCCCTCATATAGTGTTGTTACATTCCCAGATAGAAAACTGGGAAGAAAATATAGTACAAGATAATACACCAGCAATCTCAGTTCAGCAGTATAGGAGTTTTTTTTTTGGAAAAGACACTTATGTGAAAATTAGTTCCCATGGAGACAGTCTTCCATCATTAAAGATGTTGACTGCAACAACTCAACTACAGGTTATAGTTTATAGACATGTCATCACTTACAAGTGCAAACAATGACTTGATAAGCTCTTGTCCTGACTGTTGATGTACAATGTAATACTTTATCCATTTTAGTATTTTCTCTTTGCTTTGTTCTAGTACTATTGGTTGAACTCTATGATTAACACACAATTATTCTTAGGTGTTTAAATTTTAACTGAAAAGTGATCCCTGTTAAATATAAGAGTGGGAATAAGAAGAGGAGGAGATGTACAATTTGGGACATGCTCAATCGGACTTGCCCCAAATGGTGGAGTTAGAATCATGCCAGGGGATCCCAATACAATCCCATCAAGGTGGCATGTACCAATGCCATCTCACTAGTCCAAGTGATCAATTTCAGTTCACAATTGATCACACTGATAGGTCTAAGAGTCAAAGGGATCACACAAACAAGTCTAGTGTCTGCTAACACTAGCTGATAGAATCAAAAAGGGAGAGAACAATCCATCATGGGAAGCGGGATACACAGTAAACTCATAGAATGGCAGATGTCTTAAATAGCACTCTGGCCTCAGAATCAGCCCTTAAGGCATTCAGATCTGGCTGAAAAGCCCATGAGAGTATTTTAGGCATGGAAAGCCAAGACACTCTGGAAAAAAAATAAAAAAGGAAGACCTAAATGGAAGATCTCTGCAAGTGAGATCCCAGTGGAAAGAATGGGGCCATCAAAGAAGAAGGTACCTTTCTCTGAAGGGAGGAGAGAACTTCCAATTTGACTATGACCCTGTCAGAATAAGATCGAAGTCAGCGAACTCAAAAGGCTTCCATTGCCTTGGCAACTCATGACTAGAGCCTAGGGAGATTACTGACGCCATAAACAAGAGTGTCAATTTGTTAAGTCAACAACAGGAGTCACTGTGTACTTACTTCTCATGTGGGATGGTCCTTAGTGTGTTGTCCAATGTGAAGTAATGCTATAACTAGTATTGAAACAGTATTTTACACTTTGTGTTTCTGTGTGGGTGCAAACTGATGAAATCTTTACTTTATACTGAATTGATCTTCTGTATATAAAGATAATTGAAAATGAATCTTGATGTGAATGGAAGGGGAGAGGGAGCGGGAGATGGGAGGGGTGTGAGTGGGAGGGAAATTATGGGGGGGAGCCATTGCAATCCATTAACTGTACTTTGAAATTTATATTTACTAAATAAAAAATTAAAAGAAAAAATAAAGATCTTAGAAATTATAAAAAAAACAAGTGCACACAATGAAGAAGCAAAAACTTCCATTGGAAAGATGCTTCTTGCTGATGGACAAGGCATGTATGGAGAATGGGGAGAGTAATACAAAGAAAGCAAGAATGGAAAAATGAGTGATTCAAAAGTGCAAATGAGGCAGCCTGAATTACACTGCAAATGGATCCAGGAGGTAATTAAGCATCAGGGAGGAAACCACATTGACTGTGTTACAAAGCTACAGGCTTCAACACTTAGTAACATGTCCTGGTATGTAGGCAAATCCAGTAACCTTTAAGTTGTGTGAAGTTGAAATATGTCTGACAGCTTGTTATTCTCTTCATTGTGAAAAATGGTGTCAGTTGGAGCCAACACCACAGAAATGAGGACTCTTCATTGTGTGGTGGGAAGTTCCCTGCAGAGACAACAGCATAAACCCAAGAACAAAAGCAGGAGCCAGAGCTTTCACTATACTGAAGGATTTTCAGGCTAAATCCCATCTTTGCCATCATATAAAGAGAAAGCATTAACACATGGTTCCTCTAAATTTCAAGGAAGTTCAACAGGGATACCAGGTATCTGGTAGAATTGGAAATACTATTGTGTTTTATTAGCCTCATCTTTGCAAACCCTCTACTCATGCACTTTATAGTGGCCAGTTATTTCTCATATCATAACAATTCTGACTTGTTCTTTTGTAACTGTTTCAACTTTTTGTCCAGCGTCTTTGTTTCCTTGCTGATGCACTTGATTCTGTTTAAATCACAGACTTCACAATTTCATATGTAGTTTAAATACATCATCATCAAAAAACAAATGTCCAAGGCCGGTGCCATGGCTCACTAGGTAATCCTCTGCCTTGCGGCGCTGGCACACCGGGTTCTAATCCTGGTCGGGGCGCTGGATTCTGTCCCGGTTGCCCCCCTTCTAGGCCAGCTCTCTGCTGTGGCCAGGGAGTGCAGTGGAGGATGGCCCAAGTGCTTGGGCCCTGCACCCCATGGGAGACCAGGATAAGTACCTGGCTCCTGCCATTCAATCAGTGTGGTGCGCCAGCCGCAGCGCGCCAGCCGCGGCAGCCATTGGAGGGTGAACCAATGGCAAAGGAAGACCTTTCTCTCTGTCTCTCTCTCACTGTCCACTCTGCCTGTCAAAAATAAATAAATAAATAAATAAATAAATAAATAAAACAAATATCCAGACATTGAATAACAATACAAATATATTATTAATATTTTACACATAAGCATGACCATAAGGATTTCCTGTTATGTATAATCTTGCCAAGAGGTGATTTAAAAATCCAACACATGGTTATTTTAAACTTTCCCATTGTAAACATTATAATACTCTCTGTAGCATTTAGAAATAATCCAAGCATGAGGCTGGCGCTGTGGCACAGCAAGTTAAAGCCCCAGCCTGCAGCACTGGCATCCCATATGTGCACCAGTTTGAGTCCCAGTTACTCTTCTTCTGATCCAGCTCTCTGCTATGGCCTGGGAAAGCAGTAGAAGATATCTTGCCCAACACTTTAGGCCCCTGCCCCGGTGTGGGAGACCTGGAAGAAGCTTGTGGCTTTGGATAAGCTCAACTGTGGCCTTTGCAGTCATTTGGGGAGTGAACCAGCGGAATGCAAGACCTCTCTTTTTCTCTGGTTCTACTTCTCTCTGTAACTCGGTCTTTCAAATAAATAAAATAAATCTTTGAAAAAAAATCCAAGCCATTCCAATTCTATGCATTTTTATTATAATAAACATATTAAGTGTTCCCCAAGGATGCTGTGATGATTAGCCAGATTCGGAACAATTTAAAGCAAATCTATCTCTATATGGTTTGTTATAAAAATTCTGTCCAAATAACCATTAAGGAGGTAGTATTCTGTACTTACTGAAATGACATTTTGTTTTTGATAATTAACCATCAGATAATTAAAGGTCATATCAAAAATATTTCATATGTCATTACTTTAAAAATCAAAGCTATGTTAAATATTTTTCCAGAGATATTTTTGCTAAATCAGGCTAATTCTATTTTTAATTATTTTATTCCCACAGACCCAGTCAGCACAATACCGTGAAGCTGGGCGCTTTCCAGGCTCAGGAGAAAGAGCTGGTGTTCGACATCGACATGACAGACTACGATGACGTGAGGAGATGTTGTAGTTCCGCAGACATTTGTTCCAAGTGCTGGACCCTCATGACCATGGCCATACTCATCATCGACCGAGCGTTGAAGGAGGTCTTTGGATTTAAGCATCGTCTCTGGGTGTATTCTGGAAGGAGAGGTGTTCATTGTTGGGTCTGCGATGAATCGGTTAGGAAATTGTCCTCCACAGTGCGTTCTGGAATAGTTGAGTATTTGAGTCTTGTAAAGGGCGGTCAAGACGTTAAGAAGAAAGTTCACCTAAATGAAAAAGTTCACCCTTTTGTCAGAAGATCCATAAACATAATTAAAAAATACTTTGAAGAATATGCCTTGGTTGGTCAAGATATTCTTGAAAATAAAGAAAGCTGGGATAAGATATTAGCCCTTGTTCCTGAAGCAATTCATGCTGATCTTCAACAAGGCTTCCAGAAGTGTCACAGCTCTCTTCAGCGTTGGGAGCACCTGAAGAAAACAATAGCCAAACATCAGAATAACACCAAAAACGACAAATGTGCACCCTGGCTGGAGTGGGAGATTATGCTGCAGTACTGTTTTCCACGGCTGGATATCAATGTTAGCAAAGGAATCAATCATTTACTGAAGAGCCCTTTCAGTGTGCATCCTAAAACAGGTCGCATTTCTGTGCCCATTAATTTACAGAAAGTGGACCAGTTTGATCCGTTTACTGTTCCAACCATAAGCTCCATCTGCCGTGAGTTAGATGCCATTTCCAACAATGAAGAGGAAAAAGAGGAGAATGAAGCTGAATCAGATATCAAACGTAGAACCAGAGATTATAAGAAGACCAGTCTGGCACCTTATGTCAAAGTTTTTGAACAGTTTCTTGAAAACCTCGATAAATCCCGAAAAGGAGAACTCCTCAAGAAGAGTGATTTACAAAAAGATTTCTGAAGACAGCGTGCCTCAAACCAGTGTGGATATCTTCTGTTTTCACCCAACAATCAAGTATTTCAAGAGACATTTTAATAAATATGGCAGAACTGTGTAGGCATCTTCATGCTCAAAGTAAAAAAAAAAAAAAAAGTTCACCAGAAATTTTCAAGCATATTTTGGGCAGTGTTCAGAATGATTGGTTTCTGAAGATTTAATTAAAATCTTTACTTACATTTAACTTTTAGAAATGAATAAATTATTCAATGCTTCCTCAACTGCTTAGTCATAGACAGCTAAGTAGATATGCTGATCATATTTCCTTTCCATGGAAAATTTGACAAGATGATTCCAATGAAAAATAAACATATAGAACTGAATTTCACTATTCACATTGCCTCTACAGAAGTGGTCAATGTCTGCTAAATTAAATATTCTCTTTAGTAAAGTAGAAATTTCAGTGGTTATGTATAGCTACTATCTTTAGTGTAAATGACTAAATACACAGCTAAACCATGTTTTCAATGGGATATATCAACAGGGGATCCTCTTGAAATCTAAGACAGATTTGGAATTCAAATAGAGTCTCTTATGGTGCAGTGTGTGACTTTTCAGTGGTTCAAAGTGATATGTATTCAAAACCACTGTGACTTGTGAACTGTGATCTACTCTCAGCTCACAATATGCAGTGTGATGCTCTTTTGTGATGTTTTCCAGCGGCATTGTGCCTCAGTTGCCAGTTGATCGTACAATCACAAGGGTGCCAACTCAACCAATACTCCATAATATATGGTGGAGCCAAGCCATGCTGTTAGGTATGTTAGTTATATTAAATGCATAAGCAACTTGACTATTCTCTACTTCCTAGGTGTTTATACTTACATAATCTTATCATAAAAAGAATATTCATAATGCATGAGTTTCCCCAAATTTATAAAGCGATGTAATAGAAAATTAAATATTTCCCTTTTTGGTGAGGAATGGCAAATATAGAGTTAAATATTGTTTCTTCATGAAAAATGGAAAAATTTTACACAGTCCAGAGGGAAATAAAGTGGTCAGCCCCTAGGTGAGTCTTATCGAATACTCCTCTCTCAGCATCTATACTGGCTATAGAAGGTAGATTAACTTCAAGAATTCATTTGCCAATTTTGTGGCATAAATACAAGCTTACCTAATACATAATACAAATTCAAAATACTTAACAAAGTTGGAATGCAAAATGTGGCTAATACTCTATTTGGAATCAATATTAATTTACAGAAGAACTGGAAAATTGGTCGTAGTAAAATTAGTCAGATTATTTAGCTATCTAACCTTATTTTAAAAGTTTACCAAAATTTCTTGGAACCCCTTAAAATAAAGTGTTGGTATTTTCCATAACTAAATCTTTACAATAAAAACTACATAGGTAGAACTTTGCAGTAGTCACTTTGCTTAACTTACTTCACTTGAGAGACAAGAAATAAAGTGAGTCAAATATGCCTCATAATTCCTCCTTAATGTTATCAAAGGAGTTAAAGGACCAGGAAGGAAAAGCCTTGCCCCAAACATCTCATTCATTATTCATTTGTTTTACAAAAAGTCATGTGCCAGTCTGCTTAGCTCAATCACCAAATGCTGCTGTATGAAGTTTAAATTATCAATAGCATATGAGCTTACTCACTTATTTTTGGATGGTTGAACAAGTAAAGGTACTTAGAAGTCCATTGAGTATGAATTAATAATTTGATAGAATGCAACTTCCATTATTGAAAGTGGTTAGCAAGTGAATGGAGATAAAAACAGATGCTTCACATTTTTTGGAAAAAGATTCCGGGAACATAATCATTGTAGCACAAATCATGTACTCATTTTTTGCTGAAAATCATAATGTTTACATTTAATGTCTACAAAACTACATGCCCTTCCATCATCTTTTATTCCCCATTCACCAAAGAAGGAACTATGACTCAAAAAATATATAAGGCTGGCATTGTAGCCCAACAGGTTAAGTTGCCACTTACAGCGCCAGCATTCCATATCAGAATGCTGGTTCAGGTCTTGATTACTCCACTTTGGATCCAGCTTCCTGATAGTGTGTCTAAAAATGTTGCACAAAGTGGCTCAACTATTTGCATTCCTGTCACCCATATCCGGGACCTGGATGGAGTTCCAGGTTCCTGGCTTTGTACTGGCCCAGCTCTGGCCATAACGACCATGTGAGGAATGAGCCATAGCATCTCTCTCTCTCTCTCTCCTGCTGTCTCTCTCTCTGCCATTGTGCCTTTAAAATAAGTAAATAAACTATTTTTGTTTTGCTAAAAAAGTAAATCTTTAAAAGTTAATATAAGCACTACATGCAATCAAAACTAATAATTATCAGGGATAGATACAAATCAAAGTCTACTTATTAAAAATCTCTGCTCCAGTTGCATTAATTTTTATAAACCAGTCCCCCAAAGACAAGTATCATATGTTTTCTTTGATTTGAAGTAATATATAAAAGCACAAAAATGTGATATATATGAGTGAAATTGATGCCTTGAGATTTGATTATTGTTTATAGCCCTTGCCCATACTCCTGGGGAACAGTGGTCTTTCTACTTTCTGGATTCTCTATTTAGTGGAGGATTAAGCCTGTGACTATAAAGTAAGTTGAAAATTTGTTACTGTAAAAATTTTAAAAAAATATTGAAAGAAGGAATGTGGAGGGAGGGAGGGAGAGATAGAGAGAGAATGGGGAGTATCACTAGGGACTTAAAGTTGGATACAGGAAATACATCATATCTGTTCTGTTTATATACATTTTAAAAGTCCATACTACCAAAAATAAACTTAAAAATAAATAAAAATCCCTGCTACTTACAATCGGTTATTCAATTTTTCACACCAGAAGCCAAAACCATGTACTCAAGTTATTTTACACTCTCAGTATTTTCGTGAGGAATATTTTCTACTGAAATAATTTGTATTAAAACATCATTGAAATGTTTGTTTTCTTTGTTACTAATAAAGCAACCTTTTTTCTAACAATTTTCCTTTACAAACAAAAAACAAAGTTCACATATAAAAGTAACTACACAAGTAATTTGAGCATACAGGGGATTACTTCTTCTTGACCTCACTATGACTTGGAAAATAAAGTAGGTGAAGCAACACAGCAACTGATGCTTTACCTATCACCTCCCCACAGAGACTCCAATCTAACCAGTTATTCATGCACTTAACTACATTTACAAGAGCTGGGGCAGTCAGATGAGAAACCATAGTGTCTAGTTGCAGCATAATAATTAAAAAAGATGCATTGAAGAAGGCAAGGAGAGTTCACCATGTCAACCCTTCTCCAGCCCCAAGCACCTCCATGTGGACACAGGTGTAGAATGGAGCCTCCTGTTTGGGAAGAGTGGGAACTAAATGCGGGCCTTAGTACCTTCCACAGTATCAGACCTGCCATGATGAATCCTGGCTGTATGAAGAAGGAAACCAAATACATAACAACTGATTCTATGGCTCAGGATAAACCTAGAGTCAAGAGGAACTTTGCTCAGAGGCAAAAGGCTAAGCAGTCTCTACAGATACCTGAGGCACTGAATGCTAGCACACAGACGCCTGTGGAGGTCCTGAGCCCAGACTGGGAAAATTCCAGGTAACCACAAGGTAGCAATGTCCCAGAGAAAAACACTTCTCCCACTCAGGGTGTTGTTGAATGAAGCCATTTGGAGACCCTACCAGTCACTCAGGAGGACAGCTGCTGGGCAAGGCCTTGTAACACAGCTGGACAGCTGTTCCTAGCGGCTGCCTTGATCCAGCTCTATGACCCAATGAAGGGGCCACATCTACTCTTCTAAGATCCTATGTAGAATATGAATGTCACATCCTGAGAGTCTTGGCCTGTAGAGGCCCCAGGAAACAACTGTGTGGTCCTCCCACACACACACACACACACACAAGACACGTACACATGGACCCCAGGCAACAGCTGCCTGATTTATCACTGTCCCAGAAACACATAGGCTGTACCAGCATCCTGCCCTAGGCCCCAGTCAGCAGCCTGATGGCCCTGCCCATCCTCTGCTCTCCTGGAAGAAGTCCGTTTTCCCTGGGATCCAGCTCTGAGTGGTTCAACACACAGAGGTTCAGAGAAGCAGCTCAGCAGTCTCCTAACGGCCTGGCCCAGGTAGGCCCCTGGGAAGCAACTTGATGGCTCCTCCCACCTTCTGTGGTGCCAGGAACAGCTGAACAGCACACTCAAAGGAATTTGGCCAACTGAGGTCATGGAAAGCAAATACGTGGTCCTAGTAACCCCACCCCCTCCAACCTCAACCCTTGGAAGCAACAGGAAAGATTTCTCTGAGCCCTTGAGCCCCCAGAAACTGCATGAAATCACTCAAGTAATGCTTGGAAATTGACAGGTGATGCATCTAGGCTTACTGGTGTGGTCTGGTCTCTGTAGTCCTCAGACACTGACAGGTATCTCAATACTCCCATTGGGCTCACAGAGATGGCCCCTCCCTCGCACTACAGAAACCCCCAGGTGCTGTACCTGCAGCGCGACACCCACCCAGGACTTCCAGTGAGGCTGCCCTAAG